CATTGAGCGCGCTCCCGCCACAAAATAAAAAAGAACAACTTCGCTATCTCTCGTCTTCTTAATCCAGCACGGCCGGCGTGCGTCGCTCGCCCTCACAGCTCACGCCCACCGGTTACACCAGCTTGCGGTGCCACCCCACACATGACTCTCGCTCTCCCTCCCTGCCACACCGCCTTCTTCAAATGGGTGAGAAATGGCATCAAAACACAGCAGCAGTCGAATCCACGGCACCCAACCCGGCATTGCAAACCCAGAAGCAAAGCAACAGATGGAGCCGAATAAAACCAAAAATGAGGGGGCCGACTCTTCGACAAACCGCAAGTTTGCGGTCGTGCAGGGCTAGTTTCCTTGCAAAATCAAACACAGCGGCAAATGCCGCCTCCTCGCTCTGCTCTCGCTGCCACTACTGTACTTGCTCAAAACGACCGCTATCAGCCATGTTTTGCCTCAAGGTCAGCCGCCGCTGCCGCCATCGCGGCCGCTTCAAGCTCAACGGTGCCTCTCTTAACACCAGTCCTTCAACCCGGACGGGCAAGGGACGCAGCCATCGCCCTCGTAGTCCGTACAGTCGAACTTGCACATGCGGCACCCCTCCCAGCCTTCCGGCTGGCACCAAAGGCCGCCCATCGAGGGGAACAGGGCGTCATACGGGTCCGAGCCGTCCATGCACTCGAGGTCACAGTACATGGACTTCCCGTTCTCGCAGAAGTAGGCAGCGAAGGCCGGTTCCAGCTCGGCCGTGCCGCAGTCGCAGCCTTCGATTTCCTGCGACGGGGGGGGCACGGGGGAAGGGGGCAACTAGCGGTGTCGATTTCTTGCTGTCAAAAAGTGTGTTCGTGTTGTGAAGGACTACCAGTAGTTTCAAGGTGGTTTCTTGGGGTAAGGTAGCCTGTGACCGACCGCGTCAAGTGTTGCATCAGTGCGGACAGATGAAGGTACTGGGTACAGAGATCGAAACGGTTTGCAACATGAAGAACACAAACCCAGCAACAACAACAACAAGCTCGCAACGAAGAATACAAGTTGTATGCATGCACGTGGATGGCGTGTTGTGCAAAACAAACGCCCTCTGGTTCGGTGCACGCACCCGGGAGCTACGCCCGGTGTGATGACCACATCACAAAAAAAAACACGCCGGTACATCCACCGCCACAGCAGTGGATTGTGGGGTACGTGGATGATCAACATTTTCAGCAAATTGGACACATGTCCTGCGCGTTTCGCGCCTGCCTCAGGCGCACACCCACTGCGGTGGCCCCAACCAACACTGCCGTTATCCTGCTACGACGAGTCCCCGCTTGCTGCGACACTCACCGCCACCCTGCTCGCGTCCCCGCTTCCGCTGGCAGTAGCCGTGCTGCTCGACATGCTCCCGGCACCGCTGCCGTTGCCGCTGCCGTACTCGGCGGTCACCCCCTCCGACGCGCTGTCGAGCGCGCTGCCCGACGCTGTGTCGCCTGGCGTACCGGCGGTGGGTGGCGCGGCGGGGCGGAGGCCAAAGACAATGCAGAGTGTGCGTTGGACGCTCGTGTTACGCACCATCACGAATGATGATGCGCTCGCGCTACACGACGTTCACACCGGCCGATCAGTATTGTAGCCGCCGCTTACCGCGAACAACGCAACATTTGCACACCATGTCGGTGGTAGTACGTCACGCCACTTCATGATCTGGGCAGACACGGCAACTCTTCAAGAACTTCCCTGTTCGAGCGTGTCTTTTGTTATTTCCTCGGCGGAACAAAAAAAAATGAATCTCTTGATGACGTGTCTGTCATCAGCTCAGTTGTATGCGTACCCCACGTACCCTTCGTGTTTTGGGTTCGGGCTTAACATCGTACACAAAAGGTTTTGGTCGGAGGTTAGGTCACCTGCACAATTTTTTAAACGCAAAATCATTCCAAGGGATAGAATTAAGTTAATTTTCCCGGTGTGAACTGACCGCCATGGTGGGCGGCCCTAGTGCCGCCTTTCTTCGTTTTTATCGCCGAAGCCAACGTTGTTTTCCCAAGAAAAACGCAAACCGCCTGCATTATCTCCAAGCAAAGCACTTCAACTGGAAGGAGCGCTACCGCCCCACCCGTGATCCCGCCTCAAGAAGACCTATCAACACGAGCCCTGTTGCGAAAAACATGTCTTCCGTACCAACGCGTGTAAGGCTCAAAAAGGCATCGATGCAACAACAGCAAACGCTCACCGGCAATTCCGCCCGAACCGCTGCCGGCACCGCTGGCGGTGCTCGACATCGACCCGCCACCAGCCCCGCTGCCATATCCGTATGCGGAGCCCCCCTGCGACAATTCGGACCCCCCCCCGGCCCCGCTGCCGGATCCGTACGCGGAGCCCCCGCTGGACATGGACCCGGAACCGGCCCCCATGCCGTACACGTCGTCCTCGCATTGGGCCATGTCGGTGATGCCGACGCCGGAACAGAACGTGATATAGTCCGCGGGCGAGGAGGTTTCTTCCATGAACCTGTGAGTACAGTAGTTTTTTGTTTTTTTTTTGTGGCGGAGGTGGGTGGTGCCTTTAGTGTGTGTGTCTGTTTGTGTGTTAGTTCATAGAGCGGACCAACACGCGTGTTTATTCATTCCCGGACACCTTGAAGTGTATGAATCACGGCGCGCGTAGGGGGAGGAGGGGGGGGGAGCGTACTCTTATGTTTTGCATGCCTTAGCGATTATACCATTGACCACGCGTCCTCGAGAGGACGGAGCATTGTTCCCACAGGACC